ATATTTTCTTTTGTAGAAAAATCTATTTCAATGATGATATGCTGTTCCATGACTTTTGGTTCAAACTCAGGCTTAAGGAAATTACTTCCCATAAATAACCACAATTAAGAGAGGGGAAAAGAAATATATGTACAAAATATTTTATGGTGATAGGTATATAGGTACATAAACACTGTATTCATATATATATATATACACAGAATATGCATGTGTGTATATAATTTAGCAGAGCATAATTATTAAAAAGGTGACACCTCAATTTTATAGTAGTCAGATACTAAAAGTTTAAAGTAGAAGAAAACAATTTCTTGAAGTTGTTACCTTTATCACAACAGATACTAAAAGTAGATGCTACAATTCTATTATAAAAATGTTTTTCTCAGGATTATTTGCAGCACAATAGCATGATATTTAATATATACTTGGGCCAATGAAGTGCTTGGTGAGAGACAGACATCACACAAAAAGGATATAAATTTTTCATCAAACACTTCTCATCAAGGGCAATCTGCTTGATTTAAAAAGTATTCATATTGTAGTTTAACTCTTTCTTGAAGATGAAATTACATTTTTTCTATTCTTCATGAGCCTTCCAAAACACTGCCACCCTCTCAGAATTCCCTCGCTGGTGACTGGTGTGACTGGAAAAGCTGATGTGATTATTTGTCTGTCTCTAGAAGCTGAGAGATGGAAGCCAGAAGCAAGCCCCAGCTCCTTGTGGTCCTGACACTTTTTAATGTGCTCTTCTCCCAAACACTGGCCTGGCCTCTTTTTGGACCACCTTCTGCTCTGAGGTAAGTTTCTGAGATAAGTTCACTCTCAATCAGGCAACGGAACATTTCTTCTTTATCTAAGCAGAAATTTCCTATGTTATCTTGGAGAGTGGAGTATTTTAAATTACTTTCCTTCAAATATTTTGATTGATGTGTTGAGCAAGTTATTTTCCAACCTCAGCTAACTAGGGTAGTCTGTCCTAGAATTCACTTTCAGGACACGAGAGACAGTATCAGTGTTAGTTGTATTTGTAGATCTTGTCAGTGGAAGAAAGGGGATTTGGCTTTCATTCAAAACGAGAGTTACATAAGTATAAACTTTTATAAACTCTCATCTTCAAGTTCTGGTGGAAAAATAGTTGTTTAGTAGCCATCCTCACTTAATTTTCAAAGATTAATCAGTGTGTAACTGTAAAATTAGTAGTTTATTAGTAAAATATGTATAAAATTATATTGGACAAATATCTAGGCAGAATCATTTCACCAATATTAAAAATTGTGGGATAGCTGATCTATTGAAATATAGCCCTCATAATGTACTTGCTTCAAACTAAAAATCCTGAGTTTCACTGTCCGAAATGTAGTAGTCCATATTTCAAGCTCATAAAGCATATTACAACTCATATTTAAACCTCTACTTGACACAAAATAAATTTGTTAAATAAGAAACAGTAAAAAGAACTATTAGCTTGATTTCTCTTTCCAGTGTATAGGTGCTATTATATCTGAAGGAAAAATAGTATTTTTTTTGTTTATTTGCCCATTCCTGATTCTTTGCTTCAGGTATTCTTATGCTTAAGACAATGAATAATCTCTCAACTGTTAATTTTCTCTGTGAAATTTGTTCAAAGCCAAATCATGTTACTTCAACAACTAAAAGAGAATGGCTATCTGAATATTATAACACAACAGTTAAACACTCACAAGAATTCTCAAATTTGCACTGATTGCTAGCATTCAGATACACAGAGGATTACTTACTACTGATTACCAGCTAAATCACCAACAGATACAGCAGTGCTCAGAATCTCACACTTTCTTGTAGGTTTGCCCTAATTGTGAACACATACACACAATATGTTAATAGTGTCCTGTTAAAAATGTTCATGTATCCACAAATACACTCAAATTCCATATATAGTCAAGACATTCCTTAGTAAAATTGTATTGATATATAAGATCAGAAGCCAGAGGCCTCAAAAATTCATTAAATCTGAGGGAAAATTCATAAATGAATAGAGAGATTCTTTGGATTTGATCAATGCAGAGAAATATATCATACCAAGGAAAATCTTTGTAGCAATGCTTAGGGACTTAGAGAGTCAAAAGCAGAAAACATTCAAATCTTGAAAGACATTTGGGAAAATTTATAATAAATATCATACATAAATTGATTTCCAGGTTTTATGTTTCAATGTTTAATATAACTTGTTTCTATTTTGTACAAATCTTTCTACCTATAGTACATGATGTTGTAAAGTGAAGATATTCTTGATATGGCAAAGTACAGCAAGAAATTATATATTCCTTAATGTTCTGATAGGATTGAATTATATGGCACTTCTCTTTGCTGTAGCTAGCTTATAAAAATTGTATGGCTTCTATCTCATGGGATAATAATAAATTTACTATTTATACTCTCATAAATAATAGAAGCCATTAATTCAAGTTGTCCTACTTTTATATTATGAATGGTAATTTTTTAAAAAGATTTTGAGCATCTTATTTCAAATGGTTGCCAGCCATAAGCACTATGTACTGAGAAAGGAATGTATTGTACTTCTAACATGTTTTTCACCAGGATGGATGACAGAGTACCATTCGAAGAAGCAAATGAACATGATCCAGTTTCATTAAAAGTAGACTCTGACATCTTGCAAAATGCATTAGCTGAAAATGACACACCCTATTATGATGTATCCAGGTGAGTTTGTTTATATTGTTTTATTTTATTTATAAAATTATTCTAGAAATGTCCTAGTTTTAGCTAATCATGAAGCTACTACTGTATCATAACACTACAGCTCTCCATGTGTCACAGTTTCATTCAACATGATTTAAAGCAGCTTTAGCCAGTGTACATGATTTTCATGTACACAGGTTATAAAAACTGGGATGGATGGATGGATGTCATTTACATGTGTTCTCTTGCACACATTTTCAGTATCATGGATGGGGTTAATCTTGGTAAAACAACTGCATTTCAGATTCCACAATGGAGGAGGCACTGTGGAAAGAGCTTCATTTCTATATTGAAAACAAAAAAGACTCCATTAGAGCTGTTCATTCGTAGAACTGCTTATCTGGGGTAACTTTTTACTATATACCAAATAGATCCATATTGAAGACAAAGAATAAAAAATTTTTCACTTGCATGGAAGAGTTGGTTGATAAGTCCTAAGACCCTCTTTATCTCAAGAGATTTTTGTCTCCAGTATTCTGGTGAAAGAAATAACAAATGTATAGTGTGTTTGTAAATTTGTCAAAATCAACATTTTTCTCATTGCACATATCTGTATTTAGAAGAGCAGGGAGAAAAGCAAAATAACATCTAGAAACTAATTGAAATATACTGTAATTGTGCATCAATATTTCTGACAATGAAATCTATTTAAAAGATTCCCAGTATAATAACAATGAAATATTTGGGAAATAATAATGTTAAAATATACTTTTAAAACTGCTCATTTTCTATATTTTTCAAAGTCTTGGGCTAGAGATAGAGAAAAATCTTGATATTAATGACTCGAAAATATCTTTTGTTAGGATGTTAAAAAGCTTCCTTTTGGATTTAAGCTTATTGAGGAGCTCTCATCAGCTGACGCATCCCTGTTTTTTTGTTTTTTTTAAATGGGGTAAATGATATTCCAGAAAACCATGTACAAAATAATAGCTATATTTTCTTACTTGTTTTAGAAATGCCAGACATGCTGATGGAGTTTTCACCAGTGACTTTAGTAGGCTGTTGGGTCAACTATCTGCCAAAAAATACCTTGAGTCTCTTATTGGAAAACGAGTTAGGTAAAAAGAATTTATAATTTTTTCAAACATACCATTACTCAATTTGTAAGTTATATTTCACTGTTATAAAGTTATTAACCTTGTTCAAAATTGACAATTCTTTGATACTGTTTGATGTAGCTAAATAAAAAATGTATATTCTTGAATAAAACATATAAAGCCCGTGGGTTAAGGAAATCTGCCTTTTTAGTAATATATTCATTGACTTCAGACACACATATTTTTCCTAAGTACCAATAATTTACAAATCTACACTCAAATTGGATAAGACTCAGTATCAAATTCTTGAAACACTGGTGCATTTACCAATTCTTGTTAAACTCTTTGATTTCGTTTTCCTTACACTTCTTAGCAGTAACATCTCAGAACACCCTGCACTAAGCAAACGTCACTCGGATGCTGTCTTCACCGACAACTACACTCGCCTTAGGAAACAAATGGCTGTGAAGAAGTACTTGAACTCAATTCTGAATGGGAAAAGAAGGTAAAAAAAAAAAAAAGCACAAAAAACCAAACCTTTTTAAAATGAGATATTGTAAATGACTTTCAAAATTTGAGCTACATATGGAGACTTATCTATCTCTTGGTCTCACTGCTATACCCTGAGAAGCAGTCATTCTCAACCTTAGCTGACTTTAAACCTCCCTGGAGAATTTTTAAAATACTAATATCTGGGTCTTCTCCAAAACCAGTTGCCAGGAATCAGAGCCTCTGTGGGTGCAGACCTCAACACTGTCTTTACAATTTATTTTTCATTTTGAAAGATCTCCCCAGTTGATTTACCATGCCACCCCAGTTAAAAATGATGGCTAGTCTGAATCTAGGAACAATTTTCATCAAAAGTGTTGATTTTTAATAATACATGGAACCTCCTTCATGTGGAGGTTCAAAAGTCTTACTTTACCAAATTTAACCATGAGGCATTTTGTACACTCGAGTTCTGTAAGACCCATGTCTCTCCATGGTGTGCAAATATTGGACCTGAACAAAGCAGGTGAAGTGCTTTCTTTTTTTATTCCAGTTATTTTTGTGTACTTGGTGAGTATTAAATTTAGCTCTGTTTGGGAGAGATCAGAAAAGCTTACTCTCCTTTCTCACTCATTATAAGTCTGTAAGAATAATTTTAGCCACTCCTAAGACAGAGGAACAATTCATACATAGTAACTAACCTCAAAGATGATTGCTTAGTCTCTGTGCATTTTGTAGAGCAAAGAGAACAGCCTACTCATTATGTCATAATAATTTCTTTGGAATCATTCTCAACTGTGAGCTTTAACATGAACAATTTCCTCCTCTTGATCTGCAGCAGTGAGGGAGAATCTCTTGACTTTCCCGAAGAGCTAGAAAAATGATTTTAGAAAACTCTGTGGAGCAAAACTGATGACAAGTGGTGAGTATATTTGTGCATTCTCAGTGTATTCTTATAACCATTACCTAATTATGTGTGAAGGGAAGAGTTGCTGGGCACAAAACATCTTAGGGCTGAATAATTTCCTTTATCATGAGACCTCACCTAAGGGCATCTCTTCCCTAAGTGGACCCCAAACCAGTAAACGGCTGAAAATGATTCATATGATGTTCTGGTCACAGAAAAGGGACTGCTTAAAAGGAGCACACAGTTGGACATCTGAGTGGCATTTCTAGTTTATTCGGCCTTATTCCTACCTTTGTGTCAAGTCAAAAAGAGAGAGAAAGGAGTCTGACTCACGCTCATGAGAAAAAACTGGCTTAGTTGTTGAGAATTAAACCATGCTGCTTTTATTAATTTAAGATTTAGTCTCACAATTGTCCACGTGCTCTTAATTTAATTTAGGTATAAGAAAATATCACCAAATTACAGCATGGTTCATTATTATGGAAACACCAGGGCACTCTGAGTTTAATTGTATTCTTTGAAACATAGGAAATTTCAGGCAGCAAAATTCAAATTTTGACCTGTAAAGTGAATGTAGGCACTATACTAAATGTGGTAGCAAAATATATTTCTTTCCTGAATTAAATGTTTACATTGACTCATTCAAACCTTTATGATATTTGGCAAGTGCTTGAAGAAATTTCACATCATTACCATACCAAATGTCAGCAAATTTATCTCTAAAGAGCTTTGAAGGAAATGTTTTTTGGCTTTGTGGCCTGTCTAGTTTCTCATACAACTATTTAACCCTGCTATTGTAGCGTAAACACAGCCACAGATAATATGTAAAATGAATATAAACATTTGTGTTTCAATAAAATTTTGTAGAAGCCAAAGTTGGGGAGGATTCTAACTCCTGACAAGGTCAAGGAAACTAAACTAGTCTCGAGCAGGCTAAAGGGCATTCATAGTCACGTTGGTTCCTGGTGTGGTCATGTAAGGTTATCCAGAGTGAAAAACACTTGCCTGACTGGTTACTTTTGTTCCCTGATGAGATTACCCCTTTATAAGGAAGTATATAGTCAGGAGCTTCCCACAGCAATGCCTTATCATGTGCGGACATTTCAGAGAAACAAGTCATTTGCTCAAAGATGAAAGCTAATCACATTTAGCTTCTTGAAAAACTCTAAGATGAAGCCTTCTCCATCAAGATAAAAATATGGCAGACACTAAAACATAAAGACAGGCTAAATCTTCTATCTTCTGTAAATTGCAAGATCATATTCAATCCCATCTTGTGTTCTTTATGGAAGAGTGGCTTTGGATAGATTCTCCAAACAGAAAATCCTATGGCTTACCCATTGGTAGAAAGTATAAATATATAATTATTAATGATTAATTATAGCACCCTTCACATTTAGTTTCTTTGTGACAATCAGTCTTCTGGAAGATTCTTTCTTAATTGTGCCAGAATATAATTCCTTTCCACAGGCTGTTGACAAGAGAAAAGAAGAAATACATGTTTATTAAATGAGTGAATGAGTGAATGAGATTATAATCCTGTAAATAAAAATATTTTTGTTTGAAGCACTAATTCTTTCTTTTTCAGAATTCTTGAAGACAAACGATAAAGTACATTTTGAGTTCTACATAACTTATTCAAGAAAACAACTTCAATAGCAAAACCAAATAAGATATATTGTGTTGTGAATGTTGTGATTTGTTTTATTCTGATGTAACAACTGTGATGTTTACATTGTAAATATTATTAGAAAGTTCTAAAATTTGTCTTTAGCTTATGAGAGGTCTGTAATTTCAGATGCTGTATATTATTTCTAACAAAAATATGTTTAATGATAAGTAGACAATAGGTTAATTCATTTATATGAGAGTTTCTGGCAGGGTAACAATACAGGCAAATTTATGGTTTTCTTTATAGAGTGCAGTTCACTATCCAGAAGAGTTGAGCAGATAAGCAGTATGTCTACATTTGAATGTGTAAGCAGATAGACTGCTGTGTTAACTAAATCTCAGAATATCTAAGAGAACATCAACAACTATGATAAAAAATACATTCTTCAAAATACATTTTCAGAATATTCTTTTTTCACATGTATAGACAACTTTATTTCTAGTAGATTTTAAAAATCTCTCGAATTTTGATTTCTATTCACCAAAGGCTTTCTTCTGACTTAGTGTTTTAGTTGAAAGGATTGACTTGCACTTCTGATTGTGGACCTTCCCTTTGTGCTTGTGTGAAGTATGTGCAAAATGTAAATGGAATGGAACACTTGTTTTTCAGGAATAAATATTTTTCCATAATCCTTCTGAGTAATATTTGGTCATATCAGCTTCCTTCAGTGAAAGTAGATTTGGAGACAAAACTATTTTTCCAAAATGATTGTAAGAAGTAAATATAGAAAATAAAGACCTTTGATTATTATTGCAGACAGTTTTCATTGTTCTGATTCTTTTAAATGATTCAACAGTAACTCATTTTGGTTTTAAAGTTTCAGGCACTAAATGGTTTCTGTGATGTGTGAAGTAGTATTGCTTTTGATTATGTGGGAGTCCTAAAATAACAGTGACTTAAGAGAGAAGTTTCTTTCTCAAATAAGGACAGAAATAAAATGTCCACATTGCTGAGACGTTCCTGATGTCCAAAGCTCTGGGAAACTTAAACCCTCTTGAGTCCATTCATTATCTCCTAGGAAGGGATATTTCTCCTCATGATGCAAATTCACAAGTAGGGTTCCAGCCATTCTATCTGCATTCCAGACAGCTGGATGGAAAAAGGGGACATGAAAAAAGGCAGCAAAGGGTATACACTGGTTCTCTCTGAGCTGATGTTTTACACTAACGTTCCCTTGACTGGAGCTAGTCTGATGGCCATAGTCATATGTAAGACAGGATAAGAAACGTAGTCTTCCCCATTCCCCTCCCCATGCACCAAACTTAAAACTGAAATTCTATGCATATAAAATAATAGAAGAATAGATGTGTGTGGGGCATTTGGTTTTGAAATTCTTAACTTCTCACCAAAAGGACTTAAAAAATGATGAAAACTTAATGAAGTATCCTCACCCAGGGCAAAGCTCTGCTCATTTTCATTTGCTACATTTAGAACTGACCACATAAGGAAGGGCTATTCTGGAAAACCAGTGTTTGCAAAGCAGTTTATACAAGTTAAAATGAATTTCATGTGTTGTATCTCTTATCCTCATCTGATCCCACAAATTATTGTTTATTTATTAAGTGATCTTACTAGGGAATGCACTGCAATGAAAACTATTTCTAGATATTATTTGTACACTTATGTGTACAGCTGAAATAGAGGCATAATTTGAATGTGAAACTAAAGAGTTTTAATTGTATCTTAATGTAAATATTTTCAATTCAATCATATTCATTCAAAAAGTATTTCTTAAATGACTACGATGTCTCAGAGTCTGTTCTGGGCAGATGTACAGCTAGTGCGAACCAAGAAACAGTCCAGTAAGGAAACTCCTGTGGCTGGTGTGGTGTGGGCTAGACAGAAACTAAATAAGAGGTATAGTTGATGAGGTGACCCAGGGCTGGACCTTGTAGTCTCACAGGACACAGGAAGGACCTGAGAAGTGACATGCGGAAATATTGCAGAGTTTTGGACAAATGTGTAACGTAATTTGAGCTGCGTTCTAATAGGGTCATTCTGGGTGCTCTGTTGGGAAGAAGGTAAAGAGTTGGTGAGGACAGAAAAAGAGATACAAACTAAGAGGCGATGCAACAAGTGACAATGCAGGGCAGAAACAGAAGAGGCAGTGAGAAGCAGAAGGGATATATTTTAGAAGTTGGGTCCAGTTTTTTGCTGATTGAAGTTATGAAATAAAAAAATAAAATATGCTTCCCAGGTATAGGACTTGAGCAACTTGAAGGATGGAGTTGCTATTAACTCAGACGGAGAGGACTGAGGTCCCAAAAAGGAGGAGTTGTATTCTGATGTGTTGTAGCTGATCCTGGGGAGGGAGTTGGAGACACATATAAGGAGTTTTGAGGTGATACCTTACTGTAGATACACAACAGTTGGGAGGATACAGATGAGATTTAAAAAAAATCCAGGACTGGATAAGATTACCAAGAGACTAAATGTAGCCAAATAATAATGATAAATAATCATCAAAAAATTAAAAATCTTGACACATGATAGAGTAGCTATAACCAAGTACCAAAGACTGAGTGGTTTAAACACAGAAATGTATGTCTCACAGTTCTGGAGGCTGAAGTCCAAGATCAAGTTGTCCCCAGGGCTGGCTCCTTCTGAGATCTGTGAGGAAGAATCTGATACATACCTCTCCCCTAGGGTCAGGTAGATCTTTGACTTCTTAATGTACTGCTTTGACTTCCGTTTTGATCTTCATATGACATTCTTTTTGCTGTGCGCCTATTTTCAATTTTTTATAAGAATGTCAGTCATATTGGATTAAGGTCTACCCTAATCAACTTATTTTAACTTGATTATTCTTAAATCCCAAGCTGTTATCTTTAAATAGAGTCACATTCTGAGGTACTGGGGGTTAGGACTTCCCATTTAGGGGAACATGTCAGCCCATGTTACTGTGGCACTCCTGCATTAAGAGGAATAAGTGGGTTAAAGGGGGCAAAAAGAAGATGCCAGTAGGACAGGAGAAAAATAGAGGTATGTGTCATCCTGGACAGCAAATTAAGTCTCCCAATGAAAAGGGAATTCATAGTCAAATGCTGATGTAATGTAATCTATTAATTGATTTCTTCAGCAAGCAGTCACGTGTTGCATAATAATGCAGATATTTTCTGAGAGATGCATCAGCTGACTGGGTTGTTGTGTGAACATCATAGAGTGTGATCACACAAACCTGGGTGTTGTAGCCCACTCCCCACCTAGGCTATAAGGTACAGCTCCTTGCTGCTGACTCTACAGCATGTCTCAGCACTGAACCTTGTAGGTAACTGTAATGCAATGGTATTTCTTCAGCTACATATTTCCAAATGTAGATTAATGAAAGTGAATGTACAGTGTGAAAGATAAAGCAATGCTACACTGGGTGGGCCACTTACCAGGAGAGGAGCTCGCAGAGGTGGTAGTTGCTCTGGATGAGTGAGCCCACGGATGGGAAGACCTAGGGCAGTGCAGTGTCTCCTGCAGACTTGATAAACACTGTACATTTAGTCGGCACTAAATTTATAAAATGGTTTCTCTTACTTCAATTCTAAGTTAGTCTTAGCCTACTAAAACTTTTGAAATTTATATACCTTTTAGTTTTTGACATTTTAATTATTTTGTAAAAACATAGCTTAATATTGTGTAACTGTACAAAAATATCTCTATATTAGTATTGTACAAGCTTTTTTCTCTTAATTTTTTTTGCTTAAATTTGTTTTTTTAAAAAACTAAGCCATAAAAACATACATCAGCCCAAGCCTATGCATGGTCAAGATCCTAATATCACTGTTTTTCATCTGCAAATCTTGTTTCCTGGAAGTTCTCTGAGAACAAAACACCCTGGAGCCATCACCTCTGTGGTGACAGTTCCTGCCTCTGGGTCCCCCTGAGGGACCAGCCCCAAGCTCTTCCTCAGCAGGTGCCATTCTGTTTTCATGTTCTTGAGGGGTTAGTTGGTTTCTGTCTTTGTAAGTGGGTAACCATAATGCATGGTGCACTTTCCTCTCTATTCATGAAAACTTCCGGTGTGAGAGTCCATGTCTTCAAATTTCAAGAATCTTGTGAAGGTCTGCAAAAGCTTCCGCTAAACCCTTTACTGTGAATTTTATTAGGGGGGTTCTGCTTCCTCTCCCACAGGTTCCTTTTCTCCTGTCTTTCTTTTAGTTATTGATTCCTGTCCAGTTCTCAAACTCTTTAATAGTGAGATCCTCAGGAGCCCTCTCATCAAAAGCATATTTGCATCCTAACTTAGTTCATTTGCTGCTGTGATACCAGAACATCACAGGCTAGATAATTTATAAACAACGGGAATTTATTTGGTGTCCAGATCTAGAGACTGAGAAGTTCAAGAAGAGCGTGGAGCCTTCCTGGCAAGCACAAGGTTGGGAGGAGGAGGAGGAGGAGGAAGAGGAGGAGGAGGAGGAGAGGAAGAAGAAGAAGAGGAAGAAGAGGAGGAGGGGAAGGGGAAGGGGGGAGGAGGAGGAGAAGGAGAAAAGGAAGAGGAAGAGGAAGAGGAAGAAGAAGAGGAAGAAGAAGAAAGGGGGGAGGGGGGAGAGGGGGAGAGGGAGAGAGGAGAGGAGGAAGAAGAAGAGGAGAAGCCTGGGCCTTCATTCTGTGTCATAACATAACAGAGGGCAAGTGGGAACTCACAGGACAGAGAATGAGGAAATTGGGCCAAATTCTCTTGTAACAATTTCCCCTCTTGGAATAGTTAATCCACTCAAGATAACCAGGTTAATGCATTCATGAGAGAAGAACTCTCATTACCTATACCTCTTAAAGTTTCCACCCATACAATAACAATTAAATTTCAACATGAATTTCAGTGGGGGCATACACACCATGGCACATCCAACAAAGGGAAAATTGGTGATGTCAAGGAACAATGGGACTTGGCTTGGGTGATATCCTGAAGGAGAAAGAGGAAATGGGTGACACATAAGTAGAAAGACTGACCTCAGCTTGGCACAAGCACCTTCCACCATTGTAAGAAGAATGCTTGGGCCAAAGGCAAATGCATGATGGATGTGGTGGTAAGAGATTGTGGGATGCCTCTCCTAATTAAACTAATTTCTCAGATAAACAGCTAAGAGTAAGGATAAGTAAGTAGATGTGAGGAAAGTATAAAATTATGAAAGAATTTAATAGTTTTCCTCATCTGATGAATTCAGTGATAATGACATGGCTAGGAAATGTAGATTAAATTAAATAGTCTAAGATTATTTGTATTATTTAAAGTTTAGTGAAAACTAAAGACCTGTTCACAAAAATATGTACTTTTTTGTACTTTCATAGCATTCAGTGAATTTTACCTGGGTATGCATGGGATTTGGGAGGACACTGACTGATCTCTTAAATTCCTTGCTCCAAGAGTCGTGCGGTGGTTAGAGTCCATTGTGGAAATGAGATCCTGTGATTTGGAAAAAAGGGTATGTGGATCACCAGGTGTGTGTGTGTGTGTGTGTGTGTGTGTGTGTGTGTGACAGAACCAGTACACAGACTAGCCTGGTCGAAATGAGAAAGAAAGGAATGTTGTTAAGAGCCCACACTTATTATACAGAGGACATTATTCTAGGGGCTTTACTTTGTTAAACTCATATCAAATCTATGAAGTATGTACCATTCTTCAGCCTGCTTTGCAGATGAGAAAACTAAAGAACAAAGAAAAGATAGGATAATCTTAGCCATAGAAATTAATTAAAAATATTCTGCACAGTTTCTCCCCTGTCCCACTTATCTTTTTATCTCTTTTGCAGTGTTAGGGATTGCA